TGCCAGTGCTCCCTAAATGCCATTTTAACTTCAATTCTGCAGCAACTAATAATATTAAGCATTACTCCCACAATAATGCCTTAGGTCGTCTGTTCAAGAAAAACAAAATACCTATAGCCAGTATGTACATGTGCAAGTCTTCCAAAGTCAGCAGAAATTACCTCTTTATATTGGCTATCAATGAGGTCAGATGTCTCTTAAAGGCTATGAAAGATTCTGGCAGTGATGTCAAAACCAACCCCAGTTCAGGTCAGCTTTAACTGCACAAACTTCTTTTCCTCCTACTCTTTGTCCTTTTCCACTCTCCCTAAGAGTACATGACCTGCTTTGTGAGGAAGGCATACATTCCAAATCTCTTAGAAGAGCACAGTGGTACAAGTAAATATATTATTTTGTCTGAACATGTATGATTTCACAGGTTTCAGATTTTTCAAATATGAAATTTAAATGAAAAATAAAAAAAGAATGTGTGCAAGCTTCCCAGCTGAATCATGCAAGAGCCAAAGACACAGGATGTGAGGTTGCTGCCAAAGCAGGGTTGAGTGTTAAGCGTTCATCATATATAGCACTGCCCTTGAAACAAAAGCAGTAGTTATTTTAAGTAACCATAAGCAATACTCGTGTGCAATTCAAAGGAGATCGGATATAACGAGATAAAGATTAGAGTACAGCAATACGGCTTTCATTATACAATGTAATCCAGCGTGTCTGATGTAACTGGACGTGACACAAATGTAAATTAGCAACAGGTTTGGGAATACAGGCTTTTCAAAGTCTAACATGCTTTTAAGCATAACTTTTAGTAAGTTCAAAAACAATCTTTGAAACAATGTCTTTCAAAAAGAACCCTCCACATATTTGCTAGAAGTATAATATGCATAAATAATTAGACATGTTATGCAAGATCAAACAGAAGAGCTATTTGAGAAAGAACAGAGTATTTAAACACACAAATAGATGTAGGCACCAAACACAAAGGTCCTTTGGCCATTTGGAGACGCAGATGCATTTGCAGGCAAAACGGGACATCTTAAAATTTTTAAGATTAACATAAGGCTTAAATAGGATACTTGCTCCAGAATAGGAAATAATTACAGATCCACCACACAGTGACTTAGCACTCCATTTCCTTATTGAACTACTATACTGGCATGTAATTTGCATTATATCCAAGGAAGATGTTTCACTTTTAAACATCAATGATTTTATTAATAGCTTTTGGAATATTAAATAGAAATTAACATGATAAAAACCACCCACTTATTCGACTTATGCTTAGAATATTCGGATTCAAAAGAAATATATTTGAGATTAAAAAGAAATATGTATATTTTGCTAAATAATGTGTTCTTAAAATATTGATCCAAGATCTTCAAAGTAAGCAAGTGACTAATACTAATTCCAAGATGAACTGCTTTTTTGTAATGTGATCACACAGTACAATGAGCAATGGGAACTTTGCACAAGAATTTTAAGAGGTGCTGCTATAAAATACCATTGTTTTCCACACTTTTGAAGAATAATAGCTAGAATGAGGGCTTGACTACCTCAGTTATTTCTCAAAAGGAGGGAATTAATTTAGGTCCAGAAACATTTTTTATTTCTTTTAAAATAAAAAAATTGTTTGCCCATGAACCACTATAGTGTTTTTCTATTTATTCTGAATTGTTAGAAAGCAATCCCACCAAGTGTTTTCAAGGTTAGTGCCATGTGTCCCATAGATTAACTTTTGGCATGTAGTGTTAAAGTTTTTCAGATAATCAATCTGCCCATCTCATTCAGTATCTCAGATGCAAGTCCTGTATGCCCAGTTACAAACCACTGAACCCATAACATTGTTTGAAATAGCTTAGTCTGCCTTTCTCCATCTCTCTTCCTCTGTTCTTCCTTCTTTCTGCTCTTACACCCCCATATTCCCCCATATCACCCTAAAATACTTTATTTGGCAAAATATGTACCTGATCCTATCACATTTTTTTTGGGTTTTTTTCCAAATTATTCAAAAACATTAAGGAGTGTATAAGTATAAACGATTACTTACTTTAGAAAATAATTCAAATATATGAATATTTCAAAGATGGTACATGGAGAATGCCTTCCTAGATATAGGCTATTTGCACAAATCATCAAGATTAACTAACCACGCAACACAGATGAGGAGTTAGTGAATGCTAAGCCTGTCTGAAGGGCTATTTGGGAAACTGTGTCCAGAAAATGTCAGCAATGAACCCCTGCATCACTAACTTCCTATACTATATTCCAGCCATGCTAAAGCATTCGAGGGCAGCTCCTCCTTCCTCCTTCCCCAGCAAGGTCAAAAATATTAATTTAAAACAAAGGAATAAAAGAGAGGGGAAATTCCTAGAAGCAGGCACTGGCCTTGCCTGACTAGCAGCTGAGACTTGTGGTAGTTTTGGCTGATTCACTCAATCTCCTAAGTGAATACCAAATGGTGTCCGTCCACCTGCACTGCAATACATTTGAGAGCCCACTCAGGAATGGCTGTGGTAAGGGAGCTTTACCCAGGTATCATGTGGCAGACAAGTTGCAGGCTGCCTGGCTGGCAGGTAAAAGGTGGCAATGACACCTTGAGTCCCATCCTGTGCAGGACTAATCAAGCTGAACCACCAACAGTTTGATCATTTTAAGTCACCTGTTCAACATTTCCTTACTGAGGAAGGCAGACTGAGGAACACTCAGACTATCAGTGGCAAGTGCAGGACAATTTAAGATGCAGCCAATTTTTCCACTGCAATGAAAGCATGTCTAGCCTCCAAGACTCCCAACTCAAGCCCTCATCTACTCTTTCATGCCCATATGGTGTGAGTCTGAGCTTGCTCTCAGCTATGGGACTGCCCAGCTCGTCTTCTCCCCAACTGCTCTGCTATTTTAATCACACTGTGCTTGAAATTAAGCGTGACAGTCTCTCCCACTACTGACCGAGTCAATCACTGGTGCAGCCCCAGTACTGTCTGCGGCAGCCAATAGCACACATACACGTAAGACAGTAAGTAGAGGACACAGTTAATAGCTCAGCCTTTCAGAAACCCACCAAATCATTCCTTATATTGGTCTTTAGGGGAGAAAGCAACAGGAGAGGTGTGATGAACTGAGAATCCCAACAAACCTTTCGGTACTACACAGGCATCGCCAGGTGCCGTGAGAAAGGACTACGATATAATCCCATCCATCAACACCAAACCTGAAACCCAGAAGTCAAATTACAGCGACAGCTGGCAAGAGCCAGTATGTCTCTAACCATGAAGCTTTAGTCCAATGCTGCAAAATTTCTTAAGCGAGTCATTTTAAAACGTAAGGAAGATGATAACACAACTAGGTCTCATGTTTTTCAGATATGCAAGTTATATTGTGCTGTAAAATTAACCAATCAGCAACACTTGCCTATGCATACAAAACCTCACAATGATACTGGAGTTCAAACCTTGCTCTCACTCAAGATTACCATAAACCCAGTTGGAGCTGTGAAGCCATGGCAGACCTAGAGCTTTAACCAGTCTGCAAACTGTTAAGTAATTAATTGCCAAGGTCAATTTGTAAAACTCACAATTACTCTTTAAATTAAAAATCAATTATGTATAATGTGAGTTAGTTTTCTGTCAGAACAGGAAATGATAAAACTCCACCACTCTAAGAGGGTTGCATGAGAACAATTTGTGGTATTGAGTCTCCAAATGTAGAACAATTTTGTGTTTTTTGTACTTTGTTAACTGTTTAAGTGAATCTATGGTCCTCTAAAAGAAAATACATCTATTTGTTTTATCTGAAATTCAAAATACAAGTTGCTCTACTCTGCAGCATTGCCTGCAAAATAAACTGGACATCCTGACTCAATTCTTTTTCTTAAGAATGAACTGTATTAGATTATCATTAGTGATTGATACAATTACTCTTTTATGATCAGCCTTTAAAGAAAATGAAGCAAGGAGAGATGTACATTTGACTACTAGAGAGCTGGAAACAATAAAAAGATAATGCTGAATGAGAATTACTGATTTACCCATGTAAACCACAGTAACTTTGTCTCTTTAGGTTCATTTTTTTCTGTTCTTTCTGTTCTGCTCCTTCCTGCAGTCTGCATCACCTTTTTCCATGAAGCCCACCTTGACACAGACCCGATTTTTTATTTCTTAAAACACGAAACACTGATTTATGGAACCGCGACGAGTGGGAAACCCGTAGGGTAAAATTCCCCGGAGTTGCTGATGCGGAATTTGCAGGCTCGTTCTTTAAAGGCTCGGTGTTTGGCGACAGGTCTGTTCCGTGGTGCCGCTCCCCGCCGCCCGCCGCAGCACCCGCACTGCCGGAGGGCCATCTTTGCTTCTGTCTGACCCACTGGAAATTAAACGTACCGAGCCTAAGCCGTGGCCCACCTGAAAATGCCTAGGCGAGGAGTTTTAAAAGTTATTTTGTTCGCTTTTCACGCCGCAGGGCTCCGCTGCCGGAATCTTTCACGTTCACCTTCTCTGGGGCAAGGGAGGCTCACGGAGCTCACCAGCCCAGCCCGGCACGGCGGGAGGAGCAGCTCCCCCAGATTTACCCCGCGGCCCAAAGCCGGGAGTAGGCGGCCGCCCTCGGGCGAGCCGCGGGGCAGGGCGAGCCGCGGGGCAGGGCAAGCCCCGGCTGCCTCCCCGCCGCCCCGCACGCCTCCACCATGTTGTCTCGGTGCGCAGCGGCGCGCAGGAGGCACCGCCACCGCCAGCCCGGCTCCGCGGGGGCCGCCCGGCTCCTCCCCGCGGCCTCCGGTTCGGGAGCGGAGGTGTTGCCCCGGCCGGGAGGCGCGGCGATCCCGGCCCGGAGCGCATGGAGGGAAACACGGTGCGGAGGAGGGGCCGCGGTGCCCAGCGGAGATCCCGGCCATAGGGGCGGGGAGTCTCCTCCTCCTCCTCCTCCTCCTCCCGCAGCGAGGCTCCAGCTCCCCGCACGCACCGGAGCGCTCGGCTCCCTCCTCCTCGTCCCTCCTCCCTTCCCCTCCTCCCCGCTTCCCTCCCCGGGTCGCCGCGGCTCCGGGAGGAGCGGGGGGGCCCCCGCTTCCTTCCCTCCCCCCCTCCTTCTCCCACCCGCCACGCCGAGGAGAGGCAGGTGAGGCCCCGGCCGCGTCCCCGCTCCGCCGCCCCACGGGAGCGGCGGCCGCGATGGCGGCGGCGATGGAGGCGCTAGGCCCCGGCCGCCCGCCCCCGGCCTCGCCCCGCCGCCGCGCCCCGGGGGCGGGGGGCGTCCCGCACCCCCGGCCCCTTCTCCTCTGCAGAAACTTTCTCGGCAACTTTCTCCCGGGCCCGAGCCCCAGCCCGCGGGGCCGAGGGGTCGGGCGGGCGGGAGCCGGGCTGGGCTGGGCGGGCTGCGTGGGGCGGGCTGCGGGCAGTAAGTTGGTGAGGGAGGGCCCCGTGCCCCCCGCTCGGCCCGGTTCCCTCCTGGCCCTGGCCCCTGCCCCGGCTCCCGCCCGCCGCGCTGCCGCGGGCGCTGCGGGGCGGCTGCTCGTCCCCCGGCGGAGGCGGCGTCCACCGCCCGGCTGGTGCTCGGCGTGAGCCGCTCCCGGCTCCGCTCCCGGCGCGGGGCCGGAGGATGTAAAAGGGCAAAATTCAGGAGTCGCCTGTAGCTTGGCCTGCGCGGTTTTATCTTCTGTTAATTTTTCTTCCCCCCGCCCCACTGTTCTGGTTTATATCCCATTATCGAGCCTGGGACACGACCGCTTTACGTTTCTGAGTCATTAATTTCAATGTTCAATTATCACACCTCATCAAGGCTCCTTGTCTTCCTTACAGTTTAAAAAAAATGTGTTGGACACACACAGGCCCCTGTTCCTGCGGAGTCTGCACATAACTTTCTGCTCTGTGTGGACCCGCAGGTTTGATGTGCTTAAAGTTGTGTGCTCAGGCCAAGGGCTAGCATGCCGACTTCTCCAGTATTCAGTAGTACAGATATGTGAAGTTTATAATATGGTTATTTATTATATTTATATATGGGCGTGTCTTGTATGCATGTGGGTATGGTCCACTTGGCACAGGAAAAAGTAGGACAGAAATATTTCTGAAGCTCATTGTAAAGATGTATTCAGAGGTACCTGCTGGATTTAACCCTAGGCAGAGGCCGGTCATTAATTAAAAATTAGATGTTTGAATTTACTTAAAGTGGCAGAATGTTCCAAAACCAGTTTTGAAAGTTGGAGTATGTTGACAAAGAAAGTGTACTGGTTTTCACGTAATAATTCATAGACAATTGAATGATATTTCAGGCAAATTTTGCAAGTGAAATTGATCTTAAATCAGGGGAGCTAGATAGAGAAGTTTACTTCAGAATCTTTTGCTTTCTTTTTTGGAAAGTAAGACGTTGAAGAGGGATAAAATTGCCTTTCAGTTACCTTTGTAGTACCTCTGTTGATAGGTAGTACAGTTCAGCCATAACCATGTTTTCATAGGCTTCACAGAAGTAAGAATATTTTCTTTCCAAAAAACAAAATCCTGCACTTCCACTCTTCTTTCTGATGTGCATCTGTAAACTTAGTTATAGGAGGTTCTTACTGAGCATAAGCATAGAGTGGAGGCTATGTGTGTGTTTTGCACAGCCAGAGTGCTGTGGCTAATGTTGGGACAAGGTAGCATCTGTGATGGCAGCAGAGACAGCAGCATGGACACTGTGCTTCTGCTGAATTTCAAAGAAAAAGATCCAGTGGTACCAGGTATGACAGTAGTTAGTAGCAGGAATTACCAATAGATAATTATTCCACGTGCTTTGTTAGCTTTATTTCTTTAACAGGTGCAGCTCAAATAGAAGTATAATCTTTGTATGCCTTCAGTGCCTCTAATAACACTTCTGGCTGTTAGAAGATTTCAAATAAATTTGGCAGCAGAGGTCTCCCAGGTGAGCAGTTTCTGTAAAATTTCTGGAAGTAAGGAAGCCAGGTAGAACAGAGCTTTCAACCTGCACGCTGGAGAGTTCACGGCAACGCTTACCTCAAGCTGGAAATTGATGCAGGAAATGGGGCCTCCCTGGTTTTGCTGCTTGCAGAGCTGGTTTTCAATAGTTACTTAATACCTGGACCCCAGTGCTGTTCTATCTGGAATGAGACTGGTGAGCCTAAGGTAGCTTTAATCTGTATTTTGTATTATAAAGACAGCTTTTCAAGGAAATATTTGTTACTCAACAACAGTTCTTTGGCTAGAAAACAAATGAATGTAATTGAAAGTATACTTAAATTGCTGCTTATTTTGAAATAGCTGGAAAAATACTTAATACATTTTTGGTGTGTTGCATACTGCATAACGGAATTATTGAAAAACTTCACAGTATAGGGGGTTTTATCAATATTCATGCAACAGAGCAGAGAACTATTCTTCTGCACTAAATAAATGCTCTTTCTTTGGAGCACTTCTGCACACTTCTGCAGCCCCTGAAGAATGAAATCATTACTCTCTTTGGTCTGATAAATCATGGCCGTCATGTGACAGTGATATGAAAGTCTGCGGCGTGGCGCATGTCAGATTATGTGGTCAAAGTTTACTTTTTGAACAAACTGGCTGCATGGTTTTACTTTTCCATATGCACTACCTGTGGACAAAAGCTGTGTATTTTTAATAGATAATTCCATGTGTTCAAAACATTAGTTAAAAGAAATAAGTTCTTTCATCCATATTCCCTACTTGCATCCAACCATTTTGCTGCATGGTTTGATCCCAGTTGGAGTAAGATCCCTTGATGTTAATTTAAAAATTGGTGTCAGTACTAACACAAATACGACTTTAGGAACACATCCTTATTCTGCTGTGTCGCATCAAGCAGCCTTTTCCAGGTAGGACGCCTTCTGTGCATATGTACGCAGCCTGTGGTTTCTGTGAAGTCCTCCTCAAAGGTTTCAGGCTTCTAGTATTGGAAGTCTTGTGCCTTTTGATGGAACAGATTGATCCCTGCAGTTTCTCTAAGTACTGTAACAGAACGGGTTCGTTTTTGTCTTGGAGGAACCATCTCCAAATACAAGTAGATAACAAGGTCTGAGGATTTATTTCATTCCTGTTCTCCTTGAGAGTGCCAATAGGAGGCTGTTTCACAGTGATGGATTTTATGATGTGGCAACAACTATTTTTCGTAATTCTTTAAAAATACAAATTGTTTTACAGTTGCCATATGAGAACTTCTTTCAATCACTCCAGTCCCTGTCTGCATTCACACCAGTGATTAGAGCTTTAGGGTTCCAAATTGTATCACCAGTTGCTGGGTTTTGAAGGTAAACCTGGACAACTTCCCATGCGTATGCTGAGTTTAGTAGGGAAAAAGTAATATTGAAAAGATGGACAAGTTTATTTTTATGTTATGAGAGGTCATTCTTAATGCCTTTTGCACTTATGGGGGTTTATCCTTGATGGTGCCAGTGCATTAAAACAGAAACTGGCACCAAAGTAAGTTATTGAAACGAGTAGAACTGCACCCTTAGGTAAAGTTAACATGCACGGCTAATTGCAGGATCAGAGATCAAGATTTTAGTAACTTTAATGCTAGAAATTGAGTAAGTAAACACTATTACTTATGAATGAGTTTTGTTCCCTTTAGATTTAAACACATATTCTTTGAAAATATAAAGGGTAGCTGGAAATAGGATAGGAAACGCTCTCTGTTATTATTTTGGGTAGGCACCACATGGAGCGCTGGGTTTCATGCTGTGTCCCCTAAGTCAGTGGACCAAAGCCATGCACAGCTGAAATGAAGCCCTAGAGCTGGACTTCTAGCTAGTCCTGGCTTGTATCCCAGCCCCACAGCTCGGTGGGATACTGCTGCAGAGATCATCGCTAACTGCATTTAAGGCTGTGTTGACTGCTGTGGCCAAGACTGGGGTTTTGTTTCGATTTTTCTTGACTGTAGTATTAGGTAATGTTATAGAGCATGGCTGGAGAATGCTGAGGAAGTAAAATCTCAGACTGGAATAATTTGTATTTTACCTTCTTGAACATTGTTAGCTGTTGAGTAGGGAATTGGATAACGTTTTTGCTAACCTGGCTGTATTTTATCTTTGTAGTTTTGGAAGGCAAATGCTTTTATAGTAGTGTTACTTGAGGCTTTAATAAGTATCAATATTGACAGCACCTATATCTTAAATGTGTATATAAATTTTGAATTCTGATGGCACTACTGAACATCAAATAATTTGTCTTTCAAATTGTCACTTCAGGGAGATGAAAAACTTATAGTTTAAGATGTTCTGTGGCTTTCTTCACACCAGAAGTCTAGAGTAGTCTGGGAAAAATAAATGATACTTCAGAAGTGATGAACCCTTTTCGTTGAAATTTTAGGATTATCTAGACCAGACTTACAAGAGTGAATAACTTTATTTAACTCAATTGACAGTGAAGTTAAGTAAACACACCCACATAAGTAAATCTTTGTAGATCAGGACCTTTAACTTTGTTTTGGAGAAACTTTCCTGAGAATTTTGTTGCATTAATTACACGTGTAAACTCAGTCTTCTTATTGGAGGAGCTTGGTTTAGTAGGGTAACTTCCTTTGCACATGCCCAAAGCACTGTCTAGTGTTGCAAAATTGAGGCAGTAGTAGTGTTTTATTCATAATGTGAATTATGGAGTATAAATGCAGTCAGGCCTCAGGTATGCTTCCCAGGACTGACAGCCCTTGTAGAAAAGAAGAGTCCAAGATGGTGTTCATGTTCCAAATGTTTGCCCATAGTTCAGGCACACATTTTGATGGTGCGTGCAAACTTCAGAAATAAAGTGTCTGGGCTAAAGGTTTTGAAATTTTCAACCCTACCTAATGACCTCACAATTGTAAGGAAAGGCAGTGCTTGTTCGAGGTATTTAAAGAGTAATTAGAGGGTGCTATGGATCTCTTGTGTATTGCAATTGTATAGCATTATAACTGTTTTGGCAGTCAGCCAGGAAAGGGAGACTTAAAACAAATTAATAGTGAAAAATCCAGTTTTAATAAGTTATTTTAAGTATGGTTAGATAACAACATTACTGTTTATGCTTAAAGTGTGACAAAGAAAAAACAGATCTCAGTTGTATCTTCTTGCTTTTCAAGAACATTTTATTGACAACTAAAATCACGACTGACACTTGTAACCACAGAAGATTAGAAAA